CAACTCTGCGTTACATTCTTCTTTTAGACATTGTACCTGTTGATTCCTCTCGCTATCGTTTCCAAGACAACAGCTGGCAGGTGGTTGGCGGCGCAGAGGCTCGGCTGCCAGACCGCGTCTTCATCCACCCAGACTCTCCTGCAACTGGAGAACACTGGCAGAATCGAAGCATATCCTTCCACCGGGCCAAACTCACCAATAACACTCTGGACGCACAAGGATATGTGAGTAAAAAGGCATCTTTCAATACCCGTTTTAAAATTCTCCATAAAGTTATCGATTCTATTATACTACTATTTTAAATTTTGGTAAAACTAACTTTTCAAAGGTGTTTAACAGTGTAATATGTCAGCAGTGTAATGAAATGGAATACTTTGTTACAATACTTTTGACACTTTCTATAATATACAGTGGCTCCAAAAACTATTTGTACACTTGAATGAATTTAATTGCATGGATAATAGGATATTAAACATAGATATCAGACCAGGTTTGTGAAAGGAAACAAATGAGGCAAGACTTTACTCAAATCTAACTTCCCTTTTCTGAGTGACAGTCACTAATGTTTTTAAACTAAATGTGCCACTAATGTTTGGCAACTGCTGAGTTTTCCAATGTTTCTGTATTCATTATTGAACTGCTTATCTATTTTATCATTTTAATAAAGTGCCATTTGGTGGTTTGATATTGTGTGACTTTAGTGCCCAAGTTCTTATTGAGCCACTGTATATTAACATTTGAACTGTTACGCACTTTAAAATGTTTGTTCATGACATAATGATAAATCTAATTATAAAGTGTTATTTACGTTTTGTTTTGGGTATCATGAGTTTATGTAAAACATAATTCCTCAGAACCTCAGGAATACCACAACTGTAACAGTGATTTCCCACACTCTTTGCCCTAAAGATCATTCTCCATTCCCTACATCGATACCAGCCACGAGTGCATGTGATCGAGGCCCGTGATGTGCTGATGTGGGGAAGAGCCCAGCACTCTTTCACCTTCCCAGAAACACAGTTTATCACGGTCACTGCATACCAGAACAACAAGGTGAAAGCAAAAATACATTTCTCAGATTAATATCAAATAATTTTAACACAATGAAAAAGCCACATATTTAAAATTGTTTTTCTTATTTTCTCCTAGATCACTGAACTGAAAATAAACTCAAATCCTTTTGCGAAAGGCTTTAGAGAGAATGGCATGAACTGCAAGAAGTTGGTTAAACACCACCAATATTAAATAATAATTCCCTAATAGTACACATTTCTTATTTAAACACAAAAACTTCTTAAGACATCTGGACTGAGAGCGGAATATTTTTCTGTTGTTTTCCTCAGACAAAGAGATGCAAGGCTGAAGAGGAAAATTACATGCAATCAAGAGGAATCTTTGGATATTGGTGAGGATAATTTACTTCAGAATCTATAATCTTTCAAAACCAAGACACAACTGAAACATAAAAAATACATGAGATTTATTCTGTTCTCTTCACAAATAAATACTTTATAAAAAAAAGTACTTGGTTTCTCAAATATTGCGTTCCTGCTTCCCTCTTTCAGAGTCATGTGACCCATGTGATTCCACTGAGCTCCTCCCACAATCAGTGGAACTCCCAAGCTCCGCCCTCTCCATTATAAACTCTGCCCTCCCAATTGCAGACTCAGGTTTTCACACAGAAGTACCATCCCTCCCAGATCAGACAGTCTCTGACCAACCACTTGTCCTTGGACAATCATTCTTGACCTCTGAGATTCCCTCTTCAATGGAAAGTCATCCACAGACAACCCCTGAGAATAATGTGAACAACACACTGATGGATGGGTAAGTCTATATGCTTATGTCTATCAAACACTTTTTCAATGTTTTTGAGCAGGGTTAAAGATAGTCTACTTTTTGTTACAGGTCTGGTCAAATGATGGACCTTCCTGGATACACATCAACTTTCCCAACTGCTCATCTCAGATCCTCATCACATGCCTCAGTGCCTTTGCATCAGTCACCTTCCATCTATTCCATGGTGTCCTCTACACAGAACTCTGGCCTTGAGCTCCCCCAGCCCTCCACAATTGCATCGCCACCCTCTATGTCCACATATTCCTCTATACCTTCATCAGACTATCCTGGTCTAAATTCCTCTACGACTATGCCCTCCTCTACGACCTCTCCCCCAGGCTCTTCGTACCCTCCCATCTCTCACTCCACCTCTCCACACCTTCTCTCCTCGTCATCCTACCACTCTATTCTTCCAACAGACCAATCCCAAGACAACCTAAGTCCCCATACACCTACAAATCCACCTTTCCAATCTATCCCCCCCTCTTCTTGTCAAGGTTCTGGGTTAACTATTGACCCTGGCCAAAATCAGGTGGACGACGGTGGATTGAGCTCATCCAATGAAACAACTCCTGCTATCCCAAACCCAACCCAAACAGCTTTTCCCTTCCCTCCAGTGCAGTCCTCAAATGACCCAGATCCAACATCCCCTCAATGTCAAAGTTTACCCCAATCTGCCCTAGCCTTCCAACCGGTGTCGCAGTGCAACCCTAATCAAATTCCCACCCCTTCTGACTCAAATATGACGCCAACTGCATTCCCCTTCCCTCCAGCAGCACAGTCCACCCCTAACTCTATGACAAACCCATCAGTCTTCCCATTCCCCCCTTTTCAACAGATCCCTAACCTCAACTTGAGTACCCCTGGATCTGCTCAAACTCCAACAACTTGTTCTTTTCCAGTTTCCCAATCCTCAGGTCTGTGCACTATTTCAGCAATTCCAAACCCAATTTATTCAACCGGATCCTTCTCCTTTCCTTCCACCAATGTTATCCATCAAGGCCCTATGCAGTCGGTTTCCAACACACTGCACCATACCACAGCATACCCGGTCCCCTCATTCCCTGCATCTCTGCCAAAACACACTACTCATGGCCCTCTCCAAAATCCTGCACCAACATCATCTCACACCTCTTACCCCTTCCCAACTTCTATCCCATCTGCTCAATATCCTCTTCAGAGTCTGACTCTGCCCTCATCTAACTCGATCTATAGTGTCCCTGCGATCCCAAACCCAACCCAAATTCAATCGACCTTTACCCAGTCATACCCTAATCCCTCCTTCCCTCATATTCAACCCCAAGTTGGAAACCCCACTCAAATCACCTCCCAGTCCTTTCACCCAATCCAAACCTCAAGTACCTCTCAATTAAATCCCCCACTTCCAATCTCAAACCATCCACAATGTCCTACCTCATCAAACGCATACCCTTCTGTAGCTCCTACTGAGATTGGCACCTTCTCACAGCTCAATTCTGCTGCCCCCTACTTGCCAGATATGGTACTGCACCCTTCCTTGCTCCCTCCTTTTGATCCCTCACTCTCCGCCCCTGCTCCCCCGTCTCTTTATAACGCTTTTCCTTCCTACTCACTCCGTCTTTGCCAGGATCCTCGATCCTCCCTGCATTTACCACTCAGGCATATTTATAGACAGCCACAGCATTCTCATGCTCAGGGGCCCTACTTTGACATTGGTGGAAGAGCAGTTTTCTGAAGATAAACAGAAAAATAACATGTATGGCAAAGTTTGCAAGGATACTGCATCAGTCAATTACTTTGCTCTGAAGATGATGGAAGCACTGCACATTATATAACTGCATTGGAGGCCATGTGAGACAAAAAGAGACAATCCCAAACATTGTAGTAGTTTAAAATGTAAAACTTATTGGTGTTTATGGTTGAAAAAGAAAATCTTAACTATGCTGCTCATGGGATTGTTAGAAATACATTTTATCCTAACCTTGATGAAGTTCAATAAAGCTGTATATTTCTAGTTCTTATTTCTCTTTGTATTCTTTAATTACAAAATAAAGTTTGAATGAGTTTAACTGTATTTTTTTTTATTATTATTTGCTTTTAAAATGTGTGTGTGTATACATCAAATACATATTCTATGGTGGTCAGGTTTAAGTTTTAAACACTTAAATGTTTGAATGTCATTGCATTAAAATGACAAAATGTGAAATCAGTTTGCATCCGCAAATGAACGCTGCAAGAACTTTCCAAGTCCCCTGGATATCCTAGCAAAGTAACCATAGATGTGGTTCATCACATTAACTATATGCATATCACACTAATATTCCTTACACTGTATACAGTATAAAGTCATTGCACATTAATTAACATACAATACAACATAACAGTGCTCTTTATTCCTGTCATGAAATAACATTTATTAGTAAATCTAATTTCATTGGTCAACTACCTGACTAATTCTTGAATGAGGCAAACTGTTACCAGGTTAGTTTGCTTTTGCAGATGCTCTATTCTTCAAATTGAAAAATAAAGAAACCTACTGAAACTCTTGGCAAAAAATTTGGATAAGGCTGCTGCATTTTGCCAGCCAACCACAAGTTACTTACATGCAATTGGGCGCAAAGAGTTTAGAAAGAAAGTAAATTGAAACATTCAAATTGGGACAGAACATGAAAGTGAGAATATCATTTAAAAATAAAAACAAATCAAACTGACATATCTGTGAAAACAATCCATCTCTCTCACACAGTATTTTAACCATCAGCTCTGAGTGTCAGTTGGCCTTCAGGGTTGATTCCAGTTCTGCACAACATTTGCTCATGGTCAGGTGTTGAGAGTGGGTGTGCGTTAGAAACTCAGGAACAGTCATTAAAGTCCAGGTGATAATTACCTCAACCCCCTCCTTCATTTTCCCACCTCCATTGATTTCTCTTTCCTCCTTTTCCATTTGGTGATAGACAAAGAGAGGGTTTAAAATAAGGTTAGGTAAACAGCGCTACACTCAAGCACAGGGTGCTGAGAGAGACACTTCAAATGAGTACATATTAGAAAATTGATATATTTTAATATATTTTATTTGAGTCTCACATTATCTTGAATTGACAACCGCGGCAAATACCACTGAATGTCCACAGAGATGAATAATGTGCTTCTGATGTGGATTTTAATGCAATATATGTTGCAAAGGAATATTTTGGACTGAGAAATTGTGCATTTTGATTCTAATGCAATTATATATAGTAAGAACAGAAACATGCATTAAGAAAGGGACAATTTTGTTTTTCATGCTCACTTCAATTCTAAATCATCATAAATGTCCACTAGAAGGCACTATTTTATATCCTAGAAGGATTTTCAAAGGCTAACGTGTCAAATGCATGGCAATCAGTCGAGTTAGGATGTATTAAAAGTCTTTTGCCACTTGCCCTTTACCCTGATTTTTCTCTCTCTCTTCTGACGTTTTTCTATCTGGCCCCTGTGATCTTTTCTTTGAGTCTGCGGCGGAGCTCCTGTCTGAGTAGATCTCTTTCTTTACGGATTCCCTGGAGCACAGTGCGGTTCTCCTGAGCCCTTCGCACCAGATATGGCAGTGTGTCGTCCACTGAGCCGTACGGCACTGACTTGTACACTGAGAAACCATGCTGGGCTGAGAAGAGAAGATGAATGTGAGGGTTGACGGGTGTTCCAGAGAGGCAAGGAAATGAATTCATTCAGTGCTACTGAATGAAATGAGACTCACCTAGAGTAAGAGAGACATGGTCACACATGCCCAGCAGCTGACCAAAACAGACAGAGTTTCCATCTCTGCGAAGCCCCAACTCTTCCATCCTGAAACAACATACAAATACACACTGATCTTCTTTACAATGCTGAAAATTGCCATTTTGCCATTTATGAAGGTGTACCGTGTCACTGCCCGTCTGACTGATTCTTCATTGTGAGTGGCCACGATAATCATATAGCGTTCAGGTTTCTCTGAAATGAGGTTCAGCATGATCTCCAGACATCCATTATAACTGCAAATAAATTAAGACATTTAAAAAAACTGTCCGTAAAATGACTTACAGGACTTGCGAAACACAAATTGCAAGGGGAAAAAGTAATTGTAGCCTATTAGATTAAAAAAATAAAATAAAATTGTGGCAATTATTTTCATTTATAAATAGTATACAGTGCACTCACAAAGAGTAATACACTGTAAAAAAAATCCCGTTGTTTTTACAGAAAAAAACTGGCAGCTGTGGTTACCAGAACTTTACCGTCAATCAAAAATACGGTACCAACGTTTTTGGTTTTACAGACTTAACTTAAAATTTACAGTAATAAACCATAATTCATTATCTGAGATAATGATCATTTACCAACCTATTGAAGTATTAATATCTGTTTCGTACCATTGTAATACACTGACAACCAACAATCATCAAAGCAGTGATGAGTCACATGATCAATCAAAGCTCATCACAAGCAATCTTCCACAAGAAAGTTAATACTATTATATTGAAGCTGCACAGTGTTATTCGCACACACATTAAACACCATCATGGTAACACACATGCAATAAACAGTCATTTAACAACATTAAATGTAACATAAAACTCTAATGTACATAACTGATTAGAAAACAACTAAGAAAACTAAGAAGAAACATTGTTATTTCAACAAAAATAAATCAAATGGGAAGTGTCACGCAGGGAATTGTGGGAATGTCAATTTACGGTTTTCACTGTAAATTATACAATGAGTTATTCTTTTCACTTTCAAAAACTGTAAATTTAACGGTATTTTACAGTAAATATAGTAAGGAAACTTTCTGTTACAGTTTTGCACTGTAGCATTTTTACAGTCTTTTACCGTTAAAATCACGATCATTTTTTACAGTGTATGGATCCAAAAAATCACTGTAAAAAAATGTTCATGACTGTTTCACAGTAAATCAGTCTCATATATTTCCAGGTTATTTATACCCATTGGCAATTCTCAATGATAATGTTTTTTCCATTTCTAATGTGATTTGGAGTCAAAGAATCACCTGTCGTTAGTGTGCTCCCATGATTCATGAATTGGATCTGTTCGCCCTTCTTTTTGGGCAAGTTTTCTCTCTTTGTCCATGTAAGCACCTCTTACGAGTTTAACCCCGATACAGAAACTCTGATCGATGGATGTCTGAATGGCATCAAGTAATAGATTCTTTGATTCCTGTGTGTGAAGAAACAAGTATATCTGTAAAGCTATTAGAGATAGACTGCTTTTTATACAGATTTTCTTTTCTTTTTTTTTTAACGACCACTAAATAATGAAGGTTCGTGGCAACCTTAAGGTAGCACTGATATGTGTTCCAGATCCAGGCGCTTTGTTGATTGAACTTCTTCATCATAGCCATGGTGATGAGTGACAGGGCAGGATTCATGTAAGTGTACTCAGCATCCACCAGGACACGGACTTTATTAACACTTGCCTAAACACATAGTATGTTCAGTCATTCCCAGCATTATCTTTCTTTTAGCTTTAACATGTTAACTTGTGCGTTTAAATTTGCACTCTAAACAATGCTGGGTTGTTTTAGCCCAAATTTTGGTCAAATATGGACAAACCCAAATGTTGGGTTAAAAAATGTAATTAAAAATTTTAACCCAACTTCAACTTTCACTTTCAACTGTACATTTTTTAATTACATTTTTAACCCAACATTTGGGTTTGTCCATATTTGACCCAAATTTGGGTTGAAATAACCCAGCATTTTTTAGAGTGTGGGTACCTCTCCTATTTTGTTGAGTCTCTGAAGGCTGAATAGTAAGTGTGTGTTTTCACTCTCAGTCAGACCAGGAAACACGACTTCCTATCGGTAAAAAATAAAACCAATAAGCAATAAGAATTAAATAAATAGCAGCAGAGTATAAGCTTGTGGTGTGCTGTACCTCTCCCTCCATGGCTCTCACAAGCAAGTTCAGATCATACTGTTCTGTCTTCAGCAGAGAAGTCAGCTTAACCTGAACAGGGTTTAATATAGTTAAATAATACTGCTAGCAATTTCTAATAAGAAGAAATGTTATTTGAGCATCAAATCAGCATATTAGAATGATTTCTGAAGGATCATGTGACACTAAAGACTGGAGTAATAATGCTGAAAATTCAGCTTTGATCACCAGACTAAAGTGCATTTTAAAATATATTCAAATAGAAAACAGTTCTTTTCAAATGTTATAATATTTCAAATTACTACTGTTCTTACATCTATTAAATAAATGCAGCCTTGGTGAGCATAGTAGACTTCTTTCAAAAACATAAAATAAAACTTTTGATTGGTAGTGTATCAGCCAAAGAACCTTAATCTTTGTTAATCCCAACTGATAAGAATCAATCTTTATATTGGGATGAGAGGAAACACCCACACACAGCTCAGGGCTGACTAGTGCTGTGATCTTCAGCTGCATCATGGGATTCTTGCTCCAGACATTAACGTGAGACATCAGGACACAATCCAGCATGGCTGCCAGGTTGTCTTCATATCGGTGTTCCCTGTAGATATAATGTGTGCCATAAATCAAAGTTAAAGTCAGTACTTGCTGAGAATGAAATGTTTTACAATCCCACCACTTAATAAATCAAACGATATTGCAAACTATATCGCATCACTGCAAATTCACCTAAAAAGTTATTGGTACAATAGGGCAAAAAAGCCTGAGAGATGTATAATGTGGAGCTCCAAGTGCAGGCTCACTGGGTCCCGTGATGCAGCTCAGCCTCTGGGCTTAGTGGGTCTCATGGTGCAGCTGCATATCTGGGCTCACTGGGCCATGTGGTGCAGCTCATCTTCTGAGTTCAGTAAAGCCCCACGTACGCTTCATTTTTTTACACGAATACATAGCATATGTGTAAAGCCGAGAGCAAAGGGCCAGGGCAGTGTTGCCATCTTGTGAACAAATTCAATTGTGCAAAAAATTCAAGGTGGAAGTTTAAAAATTTTTTTTTTATAAACATTAAACGATGATCTATGTTTTGTGTTTACAAAAAATATGCCCTCATAGAGGCAACAATACACTTGATCCACTCAATGCTATCCGATTTATTAAAGTGAGGTTATATTTTTATGGCAAAATCTGAATGTCTTACCCAGTGCTCTCTCCTAGGTCCTCTTCAATGGGGACGGCTAACATGGGGTGGAGCCCCAGCGAGCTCATCTTTTGCATGGAGTCCGCGATCTCACCTTCTGTTTCTCCGGCAACAAACTGAGCGTACACAGATGGGCGTATGACCATGGAGAAACCTCGCGTACCCAAAACCGTCCTCGTAAAGGTCATTAGCTTTGTCAGACAAGAGATAACGAGAAATGTTACCATGATGTTGTCCGTGGACCGTCCTCTTCAGGACTAAATGACCATAAGTACAATTTCAAACATCAATTACAAGTTATGATAACCATTCTAACCACTTAAATCATACTATGGCATATGTAGTCCATTCTATAGACTAGACCCGAATAGTGAGAACAAATAGTTTACGACAGGACTGAGAAAAAATTCACAAGTTTGTAATCATTGCCTAACATTGTTCATTATAGTTCTGCGTAACTATATACATGATGTTTACTAACCACATAACTTGTATTATCTTATTATCCGGCACCCGTGGCCGTGACAGCAAAAAATGCATTCTGGTCGCATATTATTGCCATATGCACATTACTTTGACAATCATTCTGTGAAGCTATACTTAGAAACTATGTATTGTGTAATGTGCTGTACAAATAACCTAGATTTAATTAGTAACTATGAGTGGTACTTAATAGCTTCACATTGATTCAGTAAGTGTGTTTCATTAGTGGTTAACACAAGGATCTAGATGTTGCCGATGTCCTCACCTTCCCACAGTTGTTAACCAGCACAGGGAACGAGCAAAGCCGGAAGACTCCGAGGGCTCGGATCAGCTCCCAGAAACTCTTGGCCTTGAATGCTTGAGGATCCTCAAAGGTCAGAAAGCCAGGTGATGAGGGCTTACAGAGGTCTAGATGATGTTTTGCCGTCAGGGACTGCGGGGAAGCCACACTCTTGAGCCGCACAGATGTGAAACGACTCAACACTGGAGGCCGAAGAAGAGAACACATCTCCACTGCTCTGATAATTGAGAGTTTTTTTTAATGAAACTTAAAGTGGTGAACAATTGATCCCAGCACAAATCTAATCTTAAGAGTTGCAGAAGAGGCACATTGCAGCTGTTCTTTCAGAAATCCTTTAATATTGTGCAATTTCAATGCGCATTCAGTTTAGATGCGTTGTATATGCCTGCACACAACCACATCTACCTATACAGACCAATACGATTTGGTTTCCACAGACAGACAGACACCTTTAAGCACATGGGAAAGAAGCAGAAAAATATTCCCTTTAGTGCACAACTCTACCACAGAAGTGGGGTGAAAAGGCTGAAATTGTCAGGAAATTGACAATATACTCACCTGTTATTATGGACGCCAAGACTAACATATGCAGGTTCTGTGCAATTTTCCAGTGCAAATAAACAGATAGGATGAGAGCAAATGAATGAGGCAGAGAGAGGGGAGGTTCGTTTTAGGCATGTTGGTTAATGACTGATGTGCCTTTTGAACTTTGGGACATTAAGATTGAGGGGGCAGATCAGCCTGATTTCATGAAAATGCGTCTCAATAGCACGCATTGTGTTTATCGTGCATATGATACGCACTTTATTGCGTGTAATACACACGCACCCCACAACACTAATCCTACCCAAACATATAATACACATCATACCAAACCTACCCATGCGTATCATATGCATGTGAAAACTCCATAAGTTGCATATAAATATATTCAATTTATAAATGATATTAAATATTGTGTTAAATTGCACGATTAACACAATATGACGCATTTAGTGTGACCGGGTTGACGTCGTGCCCTAACTTTGTGAAATATGACAAAATCAATAGCTACTTTTTAAATGTTTGACAAGTTTAAGAAGTTTTAAATCAAATTTGATAAACTGGATTTGGAACGACACTGATATAGACAGTTACTGGTTAATAACCACTTTTGAAGTCACAGCATGGTGAATTCATATTTTGAAAACGCACTGATGCTACAACTGATTGAATTAACAACTGCATAATTATTAGGATACATTAAAAAAAAAGCAGCAGAAATGAGAAGCAAGGGAACCGAGCAGATGTCAGACAGACCTTGGATCTTGGGAAGGAGAGGGATGTGTTAGACAAAAGACCGCTAGACTTTGTCCTGAGCAGTCGATACTTACAAACAAGAGCAAAAAATTAACTCCAAACACCCTTCAACTTAAATGAAAACATTCAGAAAACCAGATGCAGTTATGTGACTTTAACATCAGTCCTCTCTTTGTTTTACCCGCAATATATTAATACGCCTTAAGTCAAATTTTCTGTAACAAGTTGGAAGCATTGTCTGAAAGTATTGTTTTAGACTTTTTCTTCTGTGCGGTGAATTCATTTGACCTTAGATGTGTTCCATTAGTAATATTTTGTTTAGTGGTCACTGTGCTTACGGTCTTCTTTATTGGCTTAAAATGGTTTATCATATGGCTTGACATTTAGTAAATGTTTATATATAGGTCAAGAACTTGTGGATTTTGTGTGGGACAGTGTTTGTTTGAACACCTGCTTTCAGAAAACACATTTCCCACTCGGCCTGCCACGATCATGAGTTTTGTGCTGATGATTGTCATGCAAATAATTGCAATTCATTTCAATCCGTTGTAGTCACGTTGCTTGCAGTGTAAGCCTAAATCGAAATTGAGATAAAAAGTCCAAATTACAATAGCATAATTTTTTCTTGTGTCAGAAATGGACTCTCATAGACTGACGGGTGACTTTTTCAAGCAATGGTAGAGTAGTTTTTTCCATTACTTCATGTTTGCTTTATCAAAGCATTTAATGCAAATGAACGTTGTTAAACAGGTTTCCAGATCATTTTCATCTGAAACGGCACACAAGATGCTTGAAATATGCCAATGTTCTGAGAATATCTGCAGCCATTTCAATAGGAATCGCCATTGACCAACATTAAACTGCTTGGCTTGAAAGTGAATTCTGTGTGAGCTGCGCTTCATATATAGCTACACGTATACAAGGGACCTAGCCTGGTTAGAACCAGACCATTCTCAGTTGTAACTGAGTTATGGTCTGGCAAAGCGTCATAGACAAATCATTTCCAGAGGGGCGTCACCAACGGACGTCGCGGATAGACCTAAACCCAATCAGAGCGATGAAGGAGATGACGTATGCAGAGCGGCGGAGAAACATCTCCGAGTGTTGTTCTTTGCTGGGTTTTTAACAAAAAGGAAACGTTCAAATGGCTTAAAACAGACGCGATAGCTGATTCGAGCGAGTGATGTTCGACGGCGGCATCCATCTTTGTAATGTAGGCTACAAAATCTGCTTCAAAATCCCAGCGCTGTCATCATCGTATAAAGCCCGCCCCAACGCTTCTGATTGGTGCCTCGATTTCGGCGGATTGGAAATGGGCTGGAATGAGCTCTTTGCCAGACTAACTTTCAGAGCAAATCTAAATTTGCCGGAAGTTGTCTGGGTTTTCCCAGGCTACAAGCGACCTTTTATGCATGCAACATTTGACAGAAATTTTGCTTATGTGATGCACCTTAATTCAGCATACTGAAGAATGAAAGAAAATATTGTAGCCATAAACCAGTGCATGAGATTGAAACCTCAACACAAATGACTGATGGAAACTCTACTTCATTTTGACTGAATAATGTTTATTAATTCACCAGGTTGTAACACAAAAAACTTGATATTTCTTCCCAGCCCACTATATTATCTCCATAACTGCTACTCCAGAACCATTGACACTGTAATGGGCACAGGCTAATTGTGGTGCCACTTAATGCGTTAACAATTAAAGTTGGCTTATATGTTTTGGTGTTATCTGCAACTAAAGCACTGCAAAACAGAGGGTGAGGCTGATGTAATGCAACAGATCTGGAGTTGGTGGATGAAGAGCAAAGCAGAGGAACCCGCAGTCTGGTTCTGGAATGAAGCCGTGTTTGAACAGGTTGCACTGGGATCAGTATGAGCTCTGGTTCTGGTTCCTGTATCCTCCTCGCTGGTAGTTCTGTTTCTGCTGATAACCACCTTTCTGATCTATAGCAGTGACAGAGAACAGAAAGAGACGGCGATATTGAACTCCAGAAGTCATACATGTGGCATTTACTGTTCATATCACTGTTTACACTAAAGCTGGTTTGAGTTTCTCAAGGAAGAGAAAGATAGTGAGCAAGGAAAAGTAAAGGGGGCCTTAGAACAACCAGATGGAGAGTTGCCACCGCATTCATTGGTAAAGGTAGAAATGAGTGAACAGGTGAGTAAGATGAAGAGATGAATGAATGATTTAACATGTTCATAACCACCTCGTTGGTAACCACCTTGCTTCTGTTGGTAACCTCCCCTCTGGTCTCCAGCTGCATAGTGAAAAGTGTTTAGAGGACAAGCACTTTCACCAACAAAAGCACTTCAACACACACTTTTTCAGCAACATTTCACAGCAGCCGCGTCAAGTGACCACAAGCGACAAGCACACAAGTGTACAGTCTGAGTGTGTATGGATTGTCATTAGGGGTGTAACGGTACACAAGAGTCACGGTTCAGTACGTACCTCGCTTTTGGGGTCACGGTTTGATACGAGTTTGGTACAAGAAAAGGTTTCTTTTAATTTATTTTGAACTGACAGTAGTGTAAATTACAGTTTGTTCCAAATAGAGGCAATGGGTCTCATTCATGAAACACGAGCAGAACGAATTTGTGTAAATCGTGTGTAAAGTGGTTCTGGCGTAAATTTTCGGATTCATTAAAATGTTCGTATTTTCCAAATGTTAGTTGGTACACAAGAAATCTACACCTGTTCCCAGCCACGCGTAAATAGTGCGCATAACACCCGAACGTTTTGCTCATAAGGCTGCATTTTAATTCACCTTAATCGGGTACATATTTGCACAGCATTTTGAAAAAATATTATATATAGTAATTACATACGGTTTTTCTTATTATGAGAGCCAGTATAAAAGCATCTGCGATGGTGGTCCTTCTCCAGTTTGAATACTATTTTTCCGAAGTGAACTAATTCGTTTTTTGCTCTCAAGCTTAATGTCGAACCATTTTCTTCTCACTTCTGGGATGTTCGATTAACAGATGAAACTCCATTAACTGCATCTGTAATATGCTGCCAAGCTTCTTTTTTTTTTAGGACCCGATACGCCACTACGCTTGAAAATAAAATGTGGCGTTTTGAATGAACTTCTGATAATAAAACTTGAATTTCTGCATCTGAGAATTTTTTTTTTCATTCGCATTCATGTCATAATGGTGGTTGAGGAGATTCCCCCTTCCATGTGAAGCGCTTTGAGTGTCCAGAAAAGCGCTATATAAATGTGATGAATTATTATTATTATAATATATAGTTGTCAGTCGGATTTAATGGGTGGGATTTATGGTAATTGAGAATGAACGTGCAGGCGCATCCTATTTACGACTGATTGGAATTCATTAACACACACACACATTTCACTATCACATCTGACGTTTACGAAGTATTTGTGAATCAGGAGAAGAGTTTTTGGGAAGGTCTCTTTACGCGCAAATCACTCGCATATCTACTCGTATATTTACGAATGTTTCATGAATGAGACCCATTAAACGGTAGTTTTACCCTGAGGTAGTTGCTACTACAGCATCCTTTAGTGTATTAAGCACTAAGCAGTAAACACAATGTGCACTCTTGCGTAGGTCATTTTTTGTAGGGCTGATACAAATCAAGTTATTTGGTCACGATCAGCTACAAAACCGAAAAGCATTTTGTGTTATAAAAGTAAAAAAAAAAAAAAAATAGAATGAGAAAAAAAACTTGAAGAGTTTAGTTTTTGCACTCCTGTAGTCTTCTGCCTAGCTCCAGTGATCGGCACATTTGGATGATGTCCATTACCCCCCCTCATTATAACAGCAGAGATCAGTGTGTACACTACTAGCTAGCTCTTGCATGTCTTCTGAACTCTTGTTTTGGGTTGGTGCGTAGATCGTCCCTTCTTCTCCTGCTCTTTTTCTGTTGTGGCGGTTAGCAAACAGTCCAGAAACCCTTCAGGATTGTAGTGTGGATCACCTGTGACTGACTGTATTAGTCGTCAGACTGTATGCACCAAACTGTGACGATACCGTTACACCCCTAAATTGAAACATTCTTTCATGGTTGAGTGTTCAAA